AAAAAATTTTTTGTATGCACCAGGAATATGGGGGAGTGCATATGCAATTTCATGTTTTCGATGGTTTGAGATAAATAAATAAAAAAAAAAAAGAAAAAAAAAACATCTCGAATCATAGAAGCTAACTGTTAGCATTAGCAACTCCACTGCAGAGCAGAACACCTCCAGATCTGAGGTATTTGTGGAGGTAAAACATGAATGCTGCAGATCAAACAAAGTCACTGGCAGAGTTACATTGCTGTTAGCCAATCAGAGACGAGATGACCAAATATCGGGAAATAAGACACCAAATCCTGCCATCTGAAGCACCCCACTGATGTGGCTCACTTCTAGTTCCACTTTTATTGTGAAAGGTTTTCAAAGGAAGTTATTTTTGAAATTGGTGAAGTTTATGAAAAACAGGCATTAGTCTGAATCTTAAGCCTTTTTAGCAATTGTATAAAAATGTGCACACTCATAACCCATGGTAGCAGCCGAGACATACAATCACAGCTCACATCTGGTCTCCAGGAGCTCACCAACCTGTGGTGTCGCCTGATGTCTGAGATGCCATGTCTGTCCAGCAATCAAACGTTTACTACAGCTTTGCAAGTAGCATGGTCACTGAGGACAGTTTTATGGGTAAATTAATTTTAAAATGATAATACTAACTGTAGGACATTTTACATGCTAACCAATAAAACCTGAAACAATTGAATCCCTTTTAATGGATGTGATTTATTTCCTTAAATCGAGCTGCTCTTTGTAAAATCACTTGGGAATGCTATAAATGAAAGAATCTTCCAATGGTTTGCATAAAGTGCCTTTCATGGCAGCTTTGATAGGCTCATGTTGGAGGCCGGAGTTTATCACATTTTAATACCACAGACAGTCTGAGAGATCCATTTAGATCAGGGGGGAAAAAGCTCCTTTATCATGCTGAGCAGCCAAATTATGCAGGTACATTTAAAATGCAATGAGGTGTTACACAGTTACAAACCAAGTGAAACGGATGTTGCCAATTAGCAAAAATGTAGCCTTCAGCCTGCATGAAGGCTCAGCCTTGATTTGAGCGGGGGGTGGGGGGGAGGGGGGTATAAAGGTGCATTTTGTAACCATCAGAGTGTCAGAATGCTGCATCCAGAGTTGGAATTACAGAACATGTTTCAGCTCTTACATGCGTCTGTCCGCTGGATTGGCCCTGGGCATCTTTGGGACAGACTGTTTATAAAGCCAATATTTATCAAAGGTGCCTGACATTTTTCTCTTTGTAGCAAGCTTCCTCTTGTAGAAGGCAATCTATTGTTGATTTCTGCAATGCATCACGCTACAGGACAGGAGAGATTTGTCAACAACTCAAGCACTCCCTACTGGAGCCAAGCTGCCGACGTCCATCAGAGAATGACAGAGCGACTTTGTAACATCATGCCTTTGGGGCTTCCTTTACATGGACAGTCAGTGGATGTACATCCCCAGGCACTTTTTTCTTCCTGTTGACACTCTGCTGGTTCTGCAAATTAACTTATTAATTTTTCACCACATGCTCTGATGGTAATTACATTTCCTCCCCTGTGCAGCCTATTGTCCCTGGAAATGTCATAAAATAGCTTAAACTGCTGCTCTGATTAGGGAGTAATCTGATTGACAGTGAAATTACCAGCTGTCAAGTGACAGTCTTTGCATTCAAAGATGAGCTCGCTATTTTAGCAAAAGTGTAATTAACCACAATGCAAGTTCTGCAGGCGCATTGTTCTGCTGCTGTCAGGAACAATTGCAGCTCTGCAGTCACGTGGGTTCACCGCGTCTTCCTTCTTCAGCCCTTTACACACCGTGGCGTGCAGCTCCCTATTAATAATGCTGCACAAACGTCCACCTGGGCTTGGAGTTTTATTCCAGCAAGCTGAGCAAGGCATTATCAATGATTTTCAAATAATGAGCAAACGATCCAGCTGCAGCCCACCCCGAGCTGCTTCTGACAGATTAAAATCTTAATCGTAGAATTCCTGAGCCCGCTGGGTATGTGTGCTAACATCCACTCCATGATCCTGCTGCACCCCTGTCACCACCAGCCATGATCTGTATCTGCAGTCAGCCCAGAACATGGCATTTCAAATACACAAGTGCTAACGCTAGATAACGTGGCACAACTAGCCTCGTATTCAGAGGCCTCCCTGATTAAAGACACGTATCTATCATAGCCCGCCATCTGTGTGGACAGTACGAGGACATGCGGACGAGCATGCGGCACAATAATGACTTGTGTTGTTTGACTGGGACTGGGCTGACAGCCACACTGAGGGGGAAAATAGATCAATCCCTAACTGTCTATCAAACAGAGCGCTCTGAAACACCCTCACTTTCTGTCCTTTTTCACTTTTATCTTTATTCTTTTTTCCTGCAATCCAAAGCACAGCTCTGCACACGCCCCCACGCCAGCCCGTTCACACAAACACAAGTCTTTGGATCCGCTGAAGGACTTCATTGTATTATTGTCTATCACCAAATGCATTTATGGACTGACAGCTTCCAAACAACAACAAACAGTTTGTTCTTGTCTTTACTTGATGATCATTTGGTTTAAACACTCTACGCTCAACAGCAGAGCTGACAGTTTCTTTCATTCTGCATCAGGTCATCCGGCAGCCATTTTACTCTGCTTAGCTGGCATGTATGCCTTAACCAACCTAACACCAATGTTTCATATTTAAACTGGGACGTTTTAAATGGTGGTCTTCCAGCCCAGTTATGTATGGACAGTCTTGAATACAGCCATGTTCTTGTGAAAAGAAAAACTGAGATGCCAGCTGTTTCAAAACGTTCTCTCTCCTTCTGTTTTTGACGCTGAAAAGATTGGGAGTGGAGTCGTGAATCTTTTTTGACTCATAAGGCTGACTTCCTCTCCTACAATCACAGTTTGATCCGTTTTGGCAAACTGCAAACGCTGGATTACCACTTATGCTGTAAAAAAAAAAAACTGCCTCGGGGCAAGCTCCATCAGAAAAACTCAGGATGGCCTTTTTATTAAAGGAGGTGGGATCCTGATGGCTTCATCTGATGGAGTGGTTGAGCGTTAGCTCCCTCATTATAGAGCCTGCCGTTTTAATCTGTTATCACATCTGTGTGGTGCAACGGCTGAGCCGGGTTGCATGTCTCCAACACCTCAGTACCCCACCAGGCGCACCATTCAGCTTTGGAATAATTTAGACTTGAGAGGGATCTGAGTGTTCTTTTCCCATCAGAAGCAGCGTGTTACACCCTCCCTCTCCTAAATAAGCTTTGTTCCCCACCCAGTTTGAAGGAAACCACACAGTGGTCACTTTACAGGTGCCACTCTCTTCTCTTGGTGTAAAAGTATGTGAAAGTCAGAGCTTTCTTATGAACCCCAATACTTAAAATAACAATCTCAGTGATCCGTCGTAACAATGACAGTAGAAATGGAAGCTTTTGGGCTGTTGTCTCTGCTCCATTCCAACGCAGCACCCAAGCACCTAAGTGGAAGGCCCAATTCTCCTGGATGACCACCAGGAAAGTGTTTGTCATCATGTCTTAGAAAGTGGTTCAATTGTGGTTCATTTAAAGTCCTCCTTCAATGTAAAGGTAATCATGATGTTGCTACTTTTACTGCCACACAATACTAGCCTGGCCAGCCTTCCTTATGGGAAGCATGGGGCTGGGAACTCTTCTATTCAAATAACCCCACCCACCCAGCATCTGAAGCGGAGTTCGCTGCGGCTCGTTCCTCTGGTTTAAATGACTTGGACACGTCTTTAAAACCACAACAAGTAGAAGCGCTAAGCGCCTTTCTTGTAAAGAAAGATTTTTGCGCCGTCGCCAGATGCTATTTTTGACTACAGCTAAAAAACTACAGAGTTGTGCGGTACTGTCGGCATTTTCCACCTTGTTTTTATTGGTTATTATTGAGCTGGCTAGTCCCGCCCCTCATGTGCCTCTCTGCCTGTGAGTTACCAGACTAGTTCTCTGTGTCGATTTAAACAGAAGACAAGTCCTCCAGGCCAGGCTAACAAGTCACCTCTTTCCTTGTAATGTCTGGTGTACTGGGACACTTTGCTGTACCCCTGCCAGGATTTATACATAGGCAGTACTTACCCATGAAGATGCTATTACAAACACCCATGACAGTTAGGGCAGCTCTACAGAGGAAGATCATGCAATGGTAACATGGCACTGACGGTGGTAGGAGGCAAGGCATGAAAGCACATGGCCAGTCATTTTTGGAATTCCCAGTCCATCTGAGCTCATAGGTACAGTAACACTGCACCCCACCATGCTCTACTCAGGACCCTAAGAAAATCGTAAAATGTCAATAAATCACCCTAACGTGTGGTTTTTCTTGTGCTGTACAATGTGCATGTATAGCCTATGAGGTCTGGCTAGAGACATGGCAGTGGCATATCTGTGAGTTAGTGATGGAGGTGGTTGGGTAGGTTGGGGAGGACGCTGTTGGACACACATAAGCTATAAAGAGACAATGTCAACTTTAACCAATTGCCAAAAACTTCCTTTTGATAATGACACAGACAGAGTGACTCGTTGCAAAGGAACTGGATGAATTGTTCACAAAGTGTATCTGATCACTTAAAGGGATAAATTGCCTCTCAGCTTGGCAGAGTTGTTGATTCTGAGGTGTGTGGCTGCTTGACAGAAAAATGAAATTCTGTAATGTTTCATGCCAAAAAATTTCCCAATCTATTTCTAGCAAGTCCTAATATCTGTTAGTGTTCTTCATTGTCCCGTGGAATTCCTCTTCAGCAGTCGTTAAAGCCTCATCACTGCTGCAAATACTGCCTCGTCATCTTCCTGGGACTATTTTCAGTTTTCTCTGCTGTTCAAGTTGTAGGTTTAAGAAAAGGTCTTCACCGGCCAAAGGGTTGTGGAAGCTTCTCCAGCCGTAAAGGTCTCTGACTGTGATGTTGGAATGCAAAGGAGAGCCAGAGAAGATCTGCTGATGTAGCTTTTTCCCTTTGTGATCTCTAACTTTCTTCTGCCTTTCTTCACCACAG